GGGGGACTGTTATAGAACTGACCAGAGATTGTGCCACCTGCAGGTGTAGCCCAGTACTTGACCTTGGAAGCAAATTCAGACTTGGCTACGCAGACTAAAAATGTGACCATGCCTTTTTCAGAGTAGCCATTTTATTTAGATTTTTTTTTTAAATAATTTATTTTGTAATGATGGTGGTTTACTAAGAAGTTTTAAATAATGAAAGGCATTTCCACAGTGGCCAACCCATACCGCAAGCTCTCATGAAATTCACTGGAGGAGTCTGGTTCTGTCTGCCGTTAGATTTATGTGACAATATGCAGTTATGTGCATACGATTGCATATTTTGCTTGGTGACAAGAACTGGAATACAGGTTGTAGATGGAAAGGCAGGCAGTGCGTCCCATTCGATGTGTACACTAACAGTATTTTACATACACCAATATGGTTGGGTAACAGTGGTGTATGTTTCAGGAAAGGTTCATCTGTCTGTCCAAACTGTGAGCGTCCAAGTTGTCCTTTCAGTGAGCCTCCTGGTTTCGGCGGAGCATAACTGATCATTTCCTGCATGTGTTTTTTTTTTTTACTCTAGACTGGGCTGGACTTTATGCGATAATAGTTTCAAATTAGTGCACGCGTTGTATTGTTCAAAGGTTCGATACCAAAAGGCCTAAAAGTGAGATTTTGATTTGAGATTTAAAAAAGAAGTTAGATATTTGCTTTGAGAACATTTTTGAGTGTTTAGAGGGTATCTCATGAAACAAGTTACTTTTATACATGGAAACTTACTTCCAAAGATTTTAGAGCCATTAAGGAAAATGATACAGCCAGCCGTGCTTCCTGACACTCCAACAGGTTTGCCAAAACAAAAAACGAGGAGAATTAACTTGACGCTGCAGATGAAGGGATCAATTTGGATAGGCAGAAGGTACCCAGTGGTTCTCAATCTTGTGCATGTCTATCTCTCTTTCGTGATGCTGCAGCAGCTTCTGACTGACTGGAGGAAAGTTTGTGTAAACACAGGCTCTAATGTTAGGATGGCTGTAGCATGCCTGGAAAACTTTATCTCTGAAGCTGATCAGTTTGTCTGAGCCAACCTGGGTCCAGATGACTTGAAGTCAGTTGGCGTTTCTGCAGAGTTGATTTGGAGTCGATATGCACTCCACCTGCACAACTGTTTTATTTTATTTTGTAATTATTTTTAGTCATCGAGGAGTAAGCTGAGTGCTTTTAAGTTTTCTTCCCCTTATCCACTTGCTCCGAGTCTACTTTATTGATGTTCGCGTATCAGCATATAGCACCACAATGAGTTCCTGTAAGTCGCCACACAACACGTTTGCTTTAGCTTGACCGTTTCTTCCTGTTTATGACACGAAGTCGAGCATAAATGCAAAATGAAAAATGTTAACAGGGACTTGTTTCCTTTTCAAAAATGAATTTCATTGTGAAATTTTACGGTACAAAAGAATAACATAACAAAATCTTAAAGGATACGGGGACAGTAAAATTTGACTCCTCATCATGCATACAAGCTGACTCAAAGACTGGCTAAGAACCACTTGCGGGGTGTGGATGTTCTCATTTCAGCCACAGAGATACTAACCTTTTCTTTCTGCCTATGTTTGTATGTGCAGCATTTGAAAGTGGTAATCCTTCTCTCCTGTGTAGTTTGTTTTTGAAACGTTTTTGTTTTTTTTCTCCTCTCTTGGTGTTGGACAAAGATTGTGAACGCACAGGAGTCATGTTGGACCTGGATCATGATTTAAAGTGTGAAAACAAAAGACCTCCATTGTTGATGGCAGGGCCTAATGTGAATAGAAATGGAAGGAGCTGAAAGACTTGTGGTATGAAAGTGTTTATTGTAATGCTACATTTGCTTTAATCTCTTTTTTCCCCCACTACATTGGAGAAGATAATGAACATTTTCGTCATTAAAGATTACCTGAATGAAGCAATATGATTGTACTTTCTTTTTCTTTATCTTGAAAGTTGACAACCTGAAGTTTAAATTTTATTTTCGGAAAGAGGAACCACCTTGCAGTTCTTACAAACCTCAATTGAATACTCAGGTCATTTTCAACTGCTTTGTTTTGATGTTGGCTTTGCAATATTTAAATTAATCTTTTGAAGCTGTTTAAAGTAGTCTAATCACCCAGTCACATGGCAGCAACCTACTGCATTTAGCCTGTACATATGATCAGGACCTGCTGAAGTATAAACTGAGGATCAGACTGGGGAAGACAGGCGATTTAAGTAACTTAAAAACCAGATGGGCTTGTCACAGTATCTCAGAAACTACTGAGCTACTGAACAGTTTTTACAACCAAGGCAGGTAGAACGGCATATCTGAATGCATAATGTATTGAACCTTGAAGTGGATAGACTACAAAAATTCTATACCAGAAGTTTGGAAAAATGTTGGCTGGTTTGAGTCTTGATTTCTGCTGTGATGTTTGGATGGAAGGGTCAAAATATAGCGTAAACAACATGAAAACGTGGACTTGCCTTGAAGTTTCAGGTGTAATGGTGTGACATATGTTTTCTTGACAGCCTTGGTATTTGGTGAGCATCATGTAAATGTCACACCTTACCTGAGTATTGTTGCCGACCATTTCCATCCCTTTATGACCACAGTTTTCCCATCTTTTGATGGCTGCTTCTAGAAGGGTAACGCAACAAAACTCACGTAATCTCAAAGTTGTTGAACATGACTATGAGCTCACTTTACCCAAATGGCCTCTGCAGCCATCAGATCTCAATCCAATTGAGTATCTTTAAGATGTGATGGAATGGGAGTTTCCCACCTTTGATGTGCAGCTCACAAATCTAAAGCAACTGTGTGATGCCATCATGAGGAATGTTTCATTGCCTTGTTGAACCTGTGCCAGAAATTAGGGTAGTTGTGAATTCAAAAGGGTGTCCAACCTGGTATTAGGTCTACCTAATGAATTGGCTGTGAGTGTATATATTTTTTTTATCTTCGGAGGACTCAACTGTGCTTGTCTTATTTGTTAGAATAAATTCTAGCTAGAGTTTGATTTTCCTCTGACTTACTTCCATAGACAGCTACTATGAATAGTCCACAGCTATTACTTTGCAATCCAGTCCAAAAACTGTGCTTTCCTGATGAGTTAGCACACGTAACTAAGACCCGGGGCATCAAGCTTCTCTGGAAATTCCTTTGAGCTCTTGACCATTACAGTGTTAATATTCTCAGAGCAGAGAAGGAAATGTGGCTGAGGTTGCCTTTTAAGAGATAATGAAATGCCCAAAAGTCAAATTTCAGTTGACATTTCAGTAAATTATACATTTAAATGCTTTTGGAATGTCTCTCCTTGTTTTTAAATGTTCATACCTGTCTATTTAAAGTCTTGCCAATCAGAAGATATTATTTCTTTTATTTTTCTTCTTTGAAACATCCTCATCCACCGAGCCTTTGGCTCAGTATTATTAGGATATTTTACCTGCACAAAGCAGAAGCAGGAAGACCTTCCGGTTTGATTTTAGTGATTAGAAACAGTCCCATAGGACCACTGAAGAGCACAACTTTTAAAACTTTGTCGCTCTGCTCTCAAGTGGGAGGTATTCTGCAACAGTTTCAACAATCTTTTCCTCAGTAGTTTAGATAATACCACAGTCAGGGTACATGAACAGTCAGGGTACATGAACCTAATATCTTATCCATCCGTTTGTTTAAACTGCTTCAGTGATGTCAGAGGACCAGCAGTGAATATCAACAGCCATCACGAGGTTTAAATGTAAGAGATCACAGTTTTAGTTCTAAAAATAATCAAAATTCAGAGTTTGAATGCGCTAGTCAGTTGCGGCCTTTCTCTGCAGAGTTTGTATGTTTTCTCTTCTCACAGTTCAAAGCCAGTTAGCTTAATGAGTGATTCTAAACCGACCTTTGGCATGAGCCTGCGTGGCTGTCTTGCCCAGTGGCAGCTGGGATATGCTCCAGGCCGACATGACTTTCAAGGATAAAGTAGGTTTAGCTAATGGATGGCTGCATTTCTTTGATCAGGGCACTTAGTTACTGTAATGAGCTTCTGAATGACTTAGAATAACCTAATTGATATAAAGTCATTTAACTTAAGTAGTAAACATAATATACAGAAGTGCACTTAGCCCACTTAATCAGTTTAACATCTGGGAAATTTACTTGTTGTATTTACTGGTTGTAAAGGGAAGCTGCTATTCTGCAAAATTCCTACTGATCTGTGATGCAAAGACATTTGATTCTCCAGACTCTGGGTCATGATCAGCTGATTGAGATTCAGGATCTGGTTTCAAACTCCAGCAAGAAGATGCTTACACACAGACTGTGTATGGCGTCTCCTGTAATGAAGCAAAAGTGTCAAAAGTAACACAAGAGAAGATCATCTCATCCTGCACACTTTATGAAACACGAAACGGGATGATGTGGCACCCTACAGGTTTCTAAGGGATATTTTGGTCAACCTGTAGAAATACCAGAAGTTTGGATAATCCAAAGTAGCAGAACCCCACACACACAGAATAATCACAGACAATAAAATAATTGATCTGAAGGCAGCCCCATCCACCTCAACCCAACAATGCTTCCACCGGTCCTCCTCCATCTTCCCTATATGGAACCTCAGCACACCTGTTCCTAGCCAATCCGGACACAGTGTGACACATAGCCCCTCCCACTGCAGCTGATGGCGTTACCATGGGTTACAGGGTGGTGGCCAGCTCCATCTCTCTCCCTCTTGTAAGGAGACTTTCTTCCCCTTCTTCTCAGGATTCAGCAGAATACACTGCAGCAGCACATAAAGATACTGAAACACAGACCAAAACACAGCCCAACAGGTTTGATCAGGGTGTCTGTTCCTGCTTGTTTCCATCAGTAACTCATTTCCACTCATTTCCCACTCCCAACTTAAATTACCTTTTGTACTTATTGTAAGCATTTTTATTTTCTTATTTTGAAAAGAAAAAAAAGTCTTCAGTAAGCAGAAGGCTCCTTTAAGTATCTGTATTGTCCGATCTTATTTATGTTCATATACTGATACGAGGGGGATTTCCTTCGAGTGGTGGTGTCACCTCCTGATCCCACCCACTGATATTGGTCTAGAGTATTGTTAGGCTTACAATGCCCCAAACTCCCAAATAAAAACACAGACAGAATCAGAGGTGGAATGTAACTTATTAAAGTACGTTACTAAAGTAAAGTTTTAATGTACTTGTGTTTTATTGAAGTATTTCCATTACGACATTAACGTCTCAGAGACATCAATGGGTTGTTGTGTATGATTCTGCTGATAAGCAAAGAATAAGCAAAGAATAACGTTCAGTGACCGAAAAGCACAATTTTGCCTACTTCAATCTACAATTCATCAAAAAACAACATAAAAAGACCTCCATTACATCAGTGTCTGTGCCTCTACAGTGTAAGATATCCACCTGACTGCTAGGCTAACATTTTAATGGTATTTGAATGTACAGTAGATGATAATTTTTAAAAATGAATTCTCTTCACATAACCCTTGTAACTTCTGTATACTGGAATAATAGTTTCCTGTGTAAGTTGCAGAAGTTCTGTTGTAGCAGAAAAACAATGAGTGTTGAACTTTATGGAAACATTTTGAATGATTCCATAGACACAGAGTCAACCAGTCCCCCCAAACCTTCCAGCTTCTCTAATTTCATTTGGACTTTTCTAAGCCTACTTCATTACACTGATGCTGGAAACCATGTCATTTGTAGAGAAAACTATGCAAAATCAGGCAGCAGATTCTTCGCCTGTGCTTTTCTTTTTATGATAAATTAGCACCAGCTCAGTGATGACCCATGCTCAGTGATTTGGGTTTCCTGAAAAGTCTAGGTTTCCATTCCTCCCCCATAGTATCAAACTGGCTGCCCTCAAAACTGACAAAGTGCTGTGCAAATTGAACTGAACAGGGCTAATAATCTAATCCAATCAGTATGTTTTGGTTGGAGCAGCCGATTCCAGAATCCACTCGTACTGCTGATCTCCCTGCTTGTCCTACATTTGTTACTGGATGCCAGAGCCGTGCCCTTCCTGTCCAGAGACCAGACTCTCCCTGTGCCTCTTCCAACTGTTTATCGGGCACCCCGCCAACTTTCCCTTCTAATTATCTAACGCTGCCCCCCCCCCCCCCCCCCCCCCGCCCCTTGCTCTCAGCAGGGGACAGTTCAGGATAAAGGCAGGAGGTGTACGGGTGTCAGGGCACACTCTTGCACTCTTGGCCTTTAGGTGTGGCTGTACCCCAGACATGTTCACCTTTCAGAAGCCACTGCTGGCATTCAGAAATCAGACTTTGCCATCTTCCTGCAGGAATGACCACCCGCCCACACACACACACACACACACACACACACACTCTCTGCAGCCCTCTGGGAGAGGGAATAGTAGCAGGAAAGCCATTTGCTGCCCACCACGTTGTTATGGAAACTGCGCGGACACGGACTCTTGTGCAGGAGAGCTTTTGTCTGTCATGCCTGAAGTCAGGAATCAACAATGTGTTATTAGAATCAGCTGTTACAGCCTGGTCTTATTGATCACCATGCAACACTGATTTATTTATACCTCAAACGCATCTGTTCTCTGTAAGGCTCATCTGCAAATGTTCTTTATAACCCTTCACTTAACCTCTAGCAACACATATAAAGGTCATATATATATAAATCTGTACAGGCTACCTGACTGTTTTTCATGTGACTTCACTTGGTGAGTTAAGTATGATATTTTTAAACCACACAATATCCTGGTGTTAAGCTAAACCACACTTTATAAACCACACTTTAGTCATGCGCTTGCGTTATCTATAATTACATTTATGACTCTTTGTAGTGTTAAAGCGTTTGTTGCTGTGTTGGTCGGGAGAAAGAAAGGTCTTTATGAAAGAAAAGTTATTACTTTTATGTATTGTTTTCCAATGTCCACAAACAGCGTTACAAGGCTATTTAAAGGTTAGTAATTACTGTATATACTGACATCTAATATTTAACCATGGGAGTTCTATGTATGGCAAGTACCATATGCTAACCCCCGCCCTGTGTTTTGGAAGAAAATACTAAATAACTTTTTTTTGGAAGAAATTTAAACTGCTTGTTTATTTGTTTGTTAGAGTCATCACCAAAAACCTCGGAAAACAATTTTCAAGACAGCACAGCGTTAGGGGATTAAACCTCAGAGGATTAACCCCTTAAGTGCTGATTTGGAATTGGACTACCCAATGTGAGGCAAAGGACATTGGGCACAAGAATCCTGCATTCATTTTAGTCATTGTAGTGGTAGGTGGCCTCTTTAGTGAACTACCTTTTTTCTTTTTGATGACAAATACCGCGGGGACCCAGAACAATGGGCTTTCAGAAGAACCAGGTTACATACTAATACATACTGACGATGATTTAAACCAAAGGTTTTACATTTGATTTCACCCCTTAGACCTGTTGGTACTGACTGCTGCTACTTTTTCAGTACAGTTCTTGTGTAATTAGGTATACCTCAGCCTTTTCAAGGTTCCCATTCTTAAAAATGACTTCTTGACATCCAGCCTTTCATTGACACCACTTCTTATGAGGCGCTGGCAAATAGCAGCTGGATCAAAATGAAGGGCCTGATTCATGTCTCAGGTTTTGTGTCAGGGACATCACTTTAAGATATTTATTTAGAGCTGCCAATTTAAACTTGGTTCTTTGCTGAGTTGTCTGTGATGTGTAGACACTGGTTCATCTATTAAGAATGATTCAATATTTTTCAGTGCTTCAGTGATTCAGAGGTCTGAAAATGGTCAAGTACGAGGACTGGACTGAAAAGGAGTGGGAAAATGGACAATGTCTAAAGAAGTACTTTGGAAGAACTTCAGAAATCATGGCTCTTATCTATCTATCTATCTATCCGTCCGTCCGTCCATCCGTCCGTCTATCAGTATTAAGCTTTTAGTTTTTAGTACAGTGTAGCTGCAGATTGATCATAAAAAAAATGCAGTAAGCAAACCAGGCTGTCAGTCTCATGCATCAAATGAATGTGGTAAAAGACAATCTGAAAACATGCTGAGTATGGAAAGTTTAACACAAAGTTTTGCACTGCAAGATTTTGCAGGGGTAATAATCGATATAATAATATTGGGGTTATTGTAGGTGCAGCATTTTCTTACAAATGTGACCGTGTCTCTGCCATTGGGTTTGATACCAAAAATGCCAACTGGAAGAAAATCATGTTAGGATCAGAGATTTCCAGTCAGAGTGGTGCGAAGAGTAAAACTTAAATCCAAGCGGAAAAGACAGCAGGAACTGTTATTTTGATTTCCTCTGGTTTAAGTTCCTTCAACACAGGACACTGATGATACCTTTATCATCACATTATGAAATTTCAACCAACAGCTGAATCACAAGGCTGAAGTTGTGCCAGAGCTGAGAAAGCCATCATTACCCTTGCGTTAAAGGTGAGAAATTGGTAGTTTCTAAACAAAACGTGGAATTCTATGTTTTCCTAATTGAAATTGTATTCCTCTATATGGTTCTGGTTAGTTTTGAAGGGGTGGGTCTTACATGGAAAACATGATGTCACACACTTTATGTACATTACGTTGCTTGGGGCTGCCATATGTCCTGTAGGAAGTGGTAAAAGTAAAAGAAACAGATAAAAGACGAACTAAATAAATAATAACAGCTCAAATCATTTAAGTAACTTGTAATACAAGGGAGAGAGCGTCCACATGTCCCCACTTCCTTTCCCCGTAAGTGGCTGAACTTTATGATTTGACTAATCAAATCAAATGGAAGCTGGAGTTGAAACTTGAGCAAGTGCTGGACATACCTGAGGGGTGTGTGTGTGTGTGTGTGTGTTGGAGCCCGGGGTGTGGTGCTGAAGGGACAGCGATCCTCATTGTTGGACTGGGTGTGACTTTGGGGAACTCTCCATGGTGCTGGGCCACTCTTGACCTCAAACATCCGACAGAGACGCCCTGCAGAGACATTTAAAGACTGCACGCCACGCTTTAATTATTACATTACACAGCTCTCTGGCGGGCAGGACAGCTGCGAGGACACTGTCTCCGGGTAAAATAGAGCTACAGCGAACAAGTCTTCAGTTTGGACAAGTGAGAGCGCAATTTTTCCGGACATTCAGCTGTGATGCGCTCCCGATAGTGCCAGTCTGGACGGTTTCATTCAGGCTACAGGTAATCCCTCATTGGGAAACATCCTCCTCCTCCACCCCTACAGGATCTCTTTGTGACAAAGCCAGACTTTAGGTCTCTCCCTCATATGCTGATTTATAACTCAAACAGCTGTGGGCAAGGAGCTAATTTAGACTCATGAGTAAGCAAATCAGAATTGTTGCTGATCTGTCGCGGAATCACTGACAAGCAATATAGCAGAAGGCTGTCTCACATCTTTCCCTAATATCAGATATTACGTGGATTCATTTTGCACTTCTCTCTCCGCAGTGAGAGTGTGTGTGTATCTTTTTTTTTTCTCGAGCAGCATTAGCTTTACTGATTTTTTTTCTGCTTTGGTCACAGTGCGACCACCTGCGATTGAAAACCGGCAAAGGCGGTGGCTGTCCAAGCGCACAGCGCTGAGGGAAGGGGAAAAAACCGGACAACACAACAAGCTGAGACTCCGAGCATCTGTGCAGCTACACCCCGCTAAACCCAATCACAACCAACCGCCTGGAAGGGATGTCGACCGCCGGGGAAGTGCCAGCTTTCTTTCAGAGGATGGGCTCCGAGAGCCCGGCCAGGCCCAGGCAGAAATTCTGTGGCGTGTTCTGTCCAGTGGAAGGCTCCTCGGACAGCAAGACGCTGGACTTTGATGCACTCTCGGCGTGCAGGGGCAGGAATGACGGGCGAGTCATTGACCGACAGACCGACATCTCCCAGCCGAGGAAGGTAGAGATAAGGGAGAGCACAGGGAAAGAGGCTCTGCAGAATCTCGATGATAAACGGGTAATTTTCTCCGATTTTGCATGCCGGTTGTGTATATTTTACACCTCTCTTTCCCAGTCTTCCTCCTTTTGTCTTTCTTTCTCTACATTTATCATTCCAGCTCTCATTTATTTCATCCAACATTCAGCTTTTTGCACACACCCGCGCCATTTTTCATCTACAATAGCATCAGTCACAGAGCCTTTGCCACTCAGCAGAGTTTGTTTAAGCATACACATCCAGTTTATGCCAGACAACTTGCCATGACTACATTTCCCAGAAAGCACTATGATGTAACAGAGTCGCTGGCCCTCAGTTAGAGGGCCCACCATGCAGAAATGCCAGAGGGAGTGGCTCTGTTAGTCAGAGTCCTTAACAGCACAGTGCAGCTGGCTGTTGGTGAAGGAAACACTGTTAACAGGTCTGCACGAGAAAGAAAAAATATACACGTGTCATCTACCATGGCATGATTTAAATAGGAGGCACACCTTTGTGAACACATCAGCCTGGTTGCTTTTGCAAGGTGATCTAGGGTTGGATCATTGCAGCATTACTGCCCTTGAGATCTCTCGTTCTTTTAACAGCAGAACTGAGTTGATGGACAGGCTCAACCTGACCTGCATGACTTGCAGGAAAATCTATCACGTCTTTTACTGCTGCTTCAAGCAGTTATTCAGGTTTTAGTGATTGGTGGTCAACCCACATCTGTACTTCCTTTACTTAATACTCAAGCACTCAGGATGCTGTTAAAAGCTTTGGGCGTTGGTGTTGAGCCCTTTTATCATGTTACATATTGATCGGAAGCATTCGCCACACAACCCACTCCTTACTCTCTTCCATCTCTTCAAGTCATATATGATTAGTTAGTTGCTCTTCACTTTTCTGATGTGAGAGCTTACTTCACAAACACAGACTTCACAGACTTAATTGATGTGATCTTCAATATCAGTGATGTCATTATTACAGGAGATGCATTTCAGCGTCGCGTTCTTCAAAAGCAAGCTGACATTTTAGGACTGTGGTGGATAAAATGCAACACAACAGCGCTGCAGTGCATGTTTACTCAGCTATTGTGTGTAAATGTGGGTTTGCTGCACTCACAATTTCTAGTTTTACTTCTGCTCCACTCAATTTCAGAGGCACACACTGCACTTTGTAATCCACACCATTTATTGTACACTTATTGTAAAGTAAGCTTTACAGACTTAGTTAATAATATGTTAAGATAAAACTGTATTGAATTCATCTAAATGTACACTGTTTACTTTGATTTTTTTAGTTCTGATTTCCAGCTCCATATTTGAATCCATGGACTCTACTAGAGTAGCTTTGCACAAGTCACAATTTAGAATAATCCTTTTCTATCTCATATTAAACCTTTGTGCAGATCCTCTGTCTGAAACAAGGCATGTAACTCCCTTTAGCCTCCTTTTATACCAGCATTCCTCTGATTGGTGATCAGTGGTAAACAGAAGGTTTGAAGAGCAGGTAGGTGGAGCTGTTTGCCTAAGATCACCATATTTTGGATAACAACTCTCTATGATGTCATACGGAGCCAAGAGCATAAAAAACTGTCTGAAACATGTTGTTAGAGCAGTCTGAAGCCTGAGCTTTTGTCTCATGGGGATTACATGTACTTACATAACATGTGAAGTCATTATGTTAAGCTTGGCCCTCTTTAATATGGCTATTCAAATTAAGAAAATGAGAAAAAGAATAAGTAAAAACTGAATTTGTGACTGAATTGACAACTTTTACTGTGGTTTTACAGACATTTATATAACAAATGAACTTTACATAGCAATTTCTTGCCTTAAGGACTCTGTTTGCAGTTGTTTTTAATGCACCTTGGGCAATCTGATTACATGCGGATGGCTAAGAGGCATCACTGTTTACAACTGTTTATCACGCGTCTCCAAGGCTTCTGTACATATTTCACAACCGGCTTCATCACTTCCACTGGAAGGTTAAAGGACACTGTCCCTTTTGTCTCTCCCTTGCACATTAAGAAAACAAAGTAATGGTTATACCAGCTGTTGAGACTGGCAGCAAAATGTCATCCACGTCCATGGCAAGAAAAAAAAGAAACACCACATGCTGCACTAATGACATATTTTCCTGTTACGTTCTTGTCAGGGACACATCAAGACAAAAGCATCACAGACAACTTTGGTAAGTCCTGTGGCTGATCAGCTGCACATCATGATGGGAATCTACTGTTCCATAAAGAATCCTTATGCCAAGCGGAAGACCGTGGAGGCCATGCTTTAAGCGTATACACCAAATTTGGACCCTAACATTTGGATGTCACAGCAGAAGTCGAGGCTTATCAGTCAAGGCAACATTTTTTAATCTTCTATTGTTTAATTTTAGTAAGCCAAACTGTAGCTTTACCTTCCAGTTCTTAGCTGACAGAAGCAGCATGCAGCGTGGTCTTCTGCTTTAAAGTTTGATGCGTTCTTCTCAGATCTCTGATTTTTTTGTCTGTTTTTGGACTATTCTCTGTAAACCCCGGAGATGGGTTTGTGGGAGTGAGCAGTTTTCTTAATGCTGATACCATCCTGTCTGGCACCAACAATCATGCCTCATACAAAGTCACTTAAATCACCTTTCTTTCTCATCCCGATGCTCGGTTTGAACTTCAGCAGGTCATCTTGACCATGTCAACATGCCTCAGTGGGTTGACTTGCTGCCATGTAATCAGCTGATTATATATTTGAGTGAACAAGCAACCGAACAGGTTTACCTAATAAAGTGTCTAATGAGTGTATATTTGCTGCTGTCTACTTATAATCTTATTTCCCAGAATGCACTAAAAACTTTGGTCTTAAAGGAACTGTGTCAGTTCAAGTACATATATTTTTTTCTATTTATAAATAAGCACAAAACAAAATTTAACGGAGAACCTCTGAGTACAAAATATATCTGGTTAAGCTCAATTGACTACTTTTGGTAATCTTACACTGCTTTAGCCTGTTATAGATAAATAACAGTTAGCTGTGTAAATCTCGAGCATTTGCCAAACACACAAAAGGCCAAATTTCCATTCCCGTGATTCCAGTTTTACCCATTTCTCAAATAGTGCTGGAATCCCAACTTGTATTGAGGACCATTCAAGTTGATCAGAGCTGGAAACAGGTGAAATCACGTCACCCTGCCTGAGCCTGAGCTCTTGCTCGCTCTAATAACACCCCCACCTTCAGACAAACAGCAGATAATGTGAGGTAAGATGGCTGCTGGCTGTTTCTTCATTTGTTCCTTCGGTGGATGTTTGCAGGCTGCACTCCCTGCTTGCCTGCCTTCCCTAATCCGGCGAAAGCAATTGATGGCATTAGTGTGTTTCTCTGCTGTCAATGGAGCAGGGCGAGGCTCTGCGCATGCTCCGTGGGGTTCTTTTATTGGGAAGAGGCTCTCGAGCGGTCCCTCCCTCCCCTCTTGTCTGACTCCGTCTGGGAAGGAACGGTTTGGTGCATCGGCGGAGACCGGGAGGCTGCCAGGATCCGGAGTTGAGCGATAGTTTGATTCTTTACGTCTGTGGCCTCCTGCAGATCACCCGTGTCTGTGTAGTCTTCCCCCTATTTATCTTCATCACCATCATCCTCACTACAGCCCGGCAGCCAGCGGTAATCCGTCCCGTTTGCATTTCTAGCGGTCTGCGGCGCACACGAAACACCGGTGAAGATGTCTGGCTACCAAGGCAAAAAGAACATTCCCCGCATCACAGTGAGTGCTCGGGTGTTTTCACGTTTGGAGTGGCAGTGAGTGGGTCCAGCCTGGCTGGTGTGGGCCTGCGGGGTGTGTTTGCAGGATGTCACCGGGGCGGCATGGTCCCTGCGCCGCTGCGCTCCTCGACGATCCAGGGCAATGGCGCAAGAGTTGATCTCCTAAAAGAAATTCCAAAATAAAATAAAAGCGTTTTGTAGATGGTTTTCTGTTTCGCTGTGAGATCGAAAGCACACGAGGGTCGAGAAATCAGTGAGGCCAGCGATAGCGTGGTGAGGGTGAAATTTTCGTGTTTTTTTTTTTTTGCAGCATCTTTGCGACAAGTGCTTATGTCCGGATAAACCCGAGCTCTCGCTTTACATTAGACTATCCATTGTTTGTGCACATTCACGCCACCCCTGCATTTCTTCCTCCGTGCCATGCATGACAGTTGAGATTTCACGCTGGTGGTCTTTGTTAGACTGTGTCTGGTGGCCGGGTATCACTGCACACCAACTGGTGGAGCAAATGCTTCCCTGCATCCGCTCCACGGCTCAGTACCCGGCTGTTTCTTTTAACCTTAGCTTCTTTTCCTTTTTTAAAGCTATCCTTGATATATCTATCTATCTATATATATCTCACTCTATATATATATATATAGATATATATATCTATATATATATAGATATATATAGCCGTTTAGAAGGCACAAAAGGCTTTAAGACACATTCAGTGTGTCATTGTGGAGCAGATTATTTCCCCGAATTCATAGCGAAGCTGCAGGGATGTGGTGCTTCAATGGAAAGTGGAGAATAGGGAGGGGAAGGGAGGGGAGCCAGGGAAGGGAGGGGACAGTGGGTCCTATTTCCTTCCATGCCTGTCTTTCAGCTGTGTAATGAGGGGAAGATGCATATAGGCAGAGCTGATCAGGGAGGAGGTCACTGCCTTTTCATCCTGATGTCAATGAGCTGATACAATGGTGAAGAGTGACCCAGAAGAGCCTGTTTGAAAGCCATACAGATGGATCTGCGCCTTCTAATTGTGGACTTACTAAACAAATCATTCAAGCAGCAGGATATGAAGCATCATTATCCTGTTATCTAGCAGGCCCACGCTCCCCAAAGGTGTCACCAAGCTAGGAAAACCTCTTCAGTCTGAGGAAATCATAGCACAAGCATGATTATGGTCACGGGTTGGCTCTGAGATATGTGCTGATTAGTAGATTATAAGAATTGTTTTATTCAATAAAGTTTTCTTTTGATCAGCTAATCGATTGATTGGAGCTTTCTTTGCCAGAGTTATTTCAGAGCCACCGCCTG